ATATATATATATATATATATATATATATATATATATATATATTGTAAATTTTTTCTCTATTAAAGAGGACCAATTTAGAATCAATTAAAATAATTTCAACCAACTTTTGTTCATGAGATCTTTTGTGAAACTGGCCTCTGAGTTCTTTGGTTTTTCCCAACCATTTGCTTGTTTGATCTTCTTTCTTTCACCATATATAGCTGATATAGAGCTGCCAGCACCCTGACTCTCTTGTTTCTTACCATAACAGTGCTTCATCAATTTCTCTGTTGTGTTTTAGGACAAAACAGACGGATCTGCAGAAGCTAATGTAAACAATGTCTCTCCGAAGACAATACCAGAGAAAGTATCTGCTTCTAAGGTATGCCTTTCACTGACAATACTGATGTAGTGATTTTATTTCAAGAATATCTCATCTTATATGTAAATAACCCAGAAATTACAGTTTTTGTTTTGTATTTTTTAAAAGAAATATTTTGTGAAAGGTGTTGCAATGTTTTAGTTTCACAAATGTTTCTTTTATCTGGTGGAATGTTTTTCTTCCTAAACCATAGCATTCAGAGCTTTATGGTGTTCTCTGTACTGTGCCCATTCTAAATCTAATGCACCTGCGTTTTCCTAGCTTGGCTTTTGGTTGATTTTCAATATTTCCGCTGCTTTTATCTCGTATTATACATAACCAAATTTGCCACTATTGTCCTTCAGCACATTTTCCCCAACACCTAGAAAACATAGTGCACATTGTCCTCCTTCAGTTTGGAATGATGAATGGGGACATGTCTGCTTATGAAAACATTAAGCTCAGATTTGAAAATTTCAAACAGTCCTGCATACCAATATTAAGTTCATTCAAGATTTGAAATTTTTTTAGGTTGCTAAAAAAAAAAAAAAAAAAAAAAAACTTAACTGTAAAAAAATATTTGATTTATTATTTTAGGATATTACCCAAAATATGTTACTTTGGACTAGATAACAGAAACTGATCAATACTGAATTTAGGGAGTGATTAGTGTTCAGTAATGGGCAGTCTGATACTGCTGCTGCTGCTTTGTTAATGACAAAATATATCCATCTCTCTAATTATTGTTACTGATATTATTGATGTGGAGTTCCCTGTTTGTAAGCATATTGTGGATTAGGTTGTGTAGTGCTTGAGAGATATGTCAGTAGTGCATAATACCTCTGTTTTATTGTTCTTCCCCTTTTGATTTATATGCAGTTTTATGAAATCTATGTCTGGATTTAACTCCAGGAAAAGATTTCAAAGAACTGTGAAATGTATGTATTTTCACCAGAGGGAGTTGAAATGTTCTACATAAAAACCAGTTAATGAGATTTTAATTTTTAATCTCATTTGATTGTAAGTGGTAAAAAAAAAAATTCTAAAGGGACATAACAGTTATTTTTTATTCAGTCATACAGGTTTGAAACTTTGTCAAAGGTGTATAACAATTGAAACAAAACATTTTGACTCTTAGGTAAAATAATATATTTAGATATATTTAGTCTTTTTGAAAATAATTCGCTACACAAGATGCAATGAAAAACTTCTTTTACCACCTCATGGAAAATATTTGATGTGATTATTATTATTATTATTATTATTATTACTATTATTATTATTATTATTTAATTTTTTTACAGCCAGTGGAGGCAGACACAGAGCTTAGCAAGGCCAAGGAGGAGATTAAAAAGCTGCTTAGAGAAATTAGTGAATTAAAAGAGGAAAATCATAAATTAAAGGCAGGACACAACTTTATTTTCTGTATACTTTACTTACCTCATCGATACCTCATCTGACAGTCTGTGGTCTCACAAAAAACTGAATATGATTTTTCAAAATATTTTTAAAAAAATGTATGTATGAACAAAACATGTTTAAATCCCAGTCAGTTTTCTCCAGACTCAAGTTATATGCCACAATGGTATAATATACTGGATAACTATAAGAATTTTTATGGATTCAACGAAAAATATCAAGTAATAATTTTCAAGAAAAAAATTGATTTTTGTGTATAATAATGGTTTTCATCTGTTGATTTCTAGGACGAAGGTGTACGACTGCGAAAAGTTGCAATGTCTGACACAGTATCCTCCACACCGCGCCCCTCCCCAGCAACGCCCTCTGGTGGTGACGACAACATGCAGATGTTACAAAATATTCCCCCCGTGGCGTACATCATACTAGCCGTATTGATTGGACTAATATTTGGAAAATTCTTGCTCTAGAGACTCTCGAATCTAGAGTATGTATGCGTTTTTTCCTCCATGAAGATAAAGGAAGAGATGGTGCATATAGAATGCAAAAGGTGACAGACGTTGACAGTTACAATTCATAGTGTACAATAATCAACTGTGTATTCCACTGACTCTTTGCAGAGGAGGAAATATATGCCATTTGTATTTTATAATGGAGAGAAGGCTCGGCCTCTGCTGCTCTTCACGTATGGTGTATTCTGTAAGATTTTATGAATGGATGTGCATGGTGATTAATTGCTTTAAACGTGACGATGAAACAAATTATTTGACAGTTCTTGAACTTTTGGTTGGTCAGGATATCTTATGATTATCTAATTGGGATATGGGGACTATTTGGATAAAACACACTGCCGGTTAATCTGATTAATTACAAAAACATTGTATTTCTTAGGTTATTGTGGGAAACAAGATAAAACTTCTACTATTTTAACTAAAGTCACATATATGGTAATCGTATAGATGTCAAAAATGGAATAAGTTGTATTTATTTATTTATTTATAATATGTTGATAAAGGCGCAGGAAACAGCAGAGGCCAAACTGTCATATTCTCTTCCTGAGGCCTATTTCATAAAAGAACTCGAGCTTTTTTTTTCCAGCTAAACTAAGACAGCTATACTCTAATATCCAATCATAAAATCTACTTTGCAGTAAGAGCATTTCGTGCAAAATTAGAACACGGTGGATGTATATGACTTGCCTGAACAGGGCACTGCCAGCATGCCAGTGTGAGTAGAAATTGGTGACGAAATCATACTAGAATTTGGTCTGAGGGCTTAGTTGTACGATCCTAAAATGTGGGTATGCTGTCCTATTGATTCCATGGTAGATGCAACTTATTTGGCTGTGATTCTTTGTAGGTTATACAAAAACCAATCTCTGCTCGATTTCTTTCATGAAACCCACAGGCTTTCAGTGAAGGGGTTGGTCATGGCAGATCAAAGGTCAAAGCATTACATTATCTGACCAATCAGGGCCGAGATGTCATATGAATGCAAGATAATGGTAGAGTTGTTCCGATTGGTTGGTTGAACTGCACTGTGTGAAAACAGGATTGAGCCAAGTTGGCAGAAATTAGCTCTTCTCATTGCACTCACTATAAACTCTCAATGTTCTTTCAAACATGCATAGTACCAGTGTTTTTGTTGAAAAAATATATGGCAGCAGCATGTATTCTAATTTCATTCAGTACACTGTAAAATTTGTTTGCCATTTTTTTAAAAGATTAAATGTGGAACTGTAGTTTGATAGAGTTAGGCCAAAGGAAACTGGTAAAAAAAAATTAGTGTTTGAAGTATGCTCTGCATACTTTTGATGTTTTAAGTATTTTATTTATTGAGATAGGATTCCTCTTGAAAGCACTTGTGACTAAGACGCCTTCCATTCCACAGTATTTTACGCTCTCCATAATAAATTGTCAATCTACAGTCATTCATTCAAAATCTGACAGTGTATAGATCAAAGCAGTGGTTCTTCTTCACCCAACAACTTGTATTTAAATTGTTTATCTTCAATATTTTTATGTCTTAGACCATTTGAAAGATTTTTCTATCAGGGAATGAGGCTATCCAGGCGAATAGACAACTGAATATTGGTGGCAACCTATTTCAATAGAGCTTTGGTAATGGACCTTAAGTTTGGGTAATTTTTTTAAAAGACAAAAGAAAACACAAATCAGTCTGAAACTCTCTTCTAACGAAATTGGTGAAAGTGAGTATTTTGGTAAATGGTATAACTTTTTGGGAAATGTGTTGATGGAGTAGATAATAGTGTGGAATGGTTCAAGAGGCATTTGAGTCAAAATTGGCATTGAGGGAAAGTTTTCACACTGTTTTATGGAAACTTTAGTACATGGATGAATAAAGGATAAATTGTAAAAAAAAAATGGAATTGTAGATATTAATGTGCAATTTATTTGCTCTTATCTCATATTTTTCATTTCATGATGCTGTTTCTATTTGCTTATTTTGCTAACTGTCTTAATATTTTTAACTTAAAAAGTCACAAGCACTGACATATGTTATTTCTCTTTCTATCTTTTATTTGATTTTTTTCTGAGCAGTCACGTAAAATGAAAATATAAGCTGACTAATTCTCCTCCTAGCCAAGGTCACATTTACCTCATGGAAATAAGGTGATTATAGAGACAACTTCTTATTACCCTGAGTTTCAGAGTTGACTGAGAACTGATTGGCATGCCTATGGTAACTAGAAATACCATAAGACACAACAGGTCAGCAGTCAGCAATTAAAAAAAAGGGGGAGGGGTATTTTTATGGAAAAAAAGGAAGAGTGGACCTTTTCACCTTAATGGCAGATGTAGAACCTGGATGAAAGGCTCAGATTCAGAACAGACCTTTTTTGCAGTCAAAAAGCAGTTTGCTAGATCCCCCCTCTTGATATCCCCCCCCCCCCCCAGAGTTGTTTCCAGTGATCTCTGAAATCCAGGGTACACTAATTATGTCCTTATTAGGAATTCATGTCCTTATTAGGAACTTAAGTTTGTTAAATTTGTATATGTAGTCGTCACTCATCTTCTCTTGCAACTGTTTGAGTTGATTAATGAGCTGCTCTAGGGAATTATTTTCAAGGAGCTGTTTTGCAATGTTTTTGTACTGGTATCAGTTGTAAAAAAATATCCGAAAGTTTGTAGGTGAAAGTTCTGCATTTTGTCCACATAAAGAACATGGCGTATTTGTAATAAGCTCTCGCAAAGTTTCAAATCTTGACTCGGAAACAATCTGTCAAAACTGCGTGAAATTTTATTTTGAAATTTGGAATAGAACAATGGTATTCATACTTCTGCATGTAAGGTTTTATTTTTGAAGAATTCTGTGGATTAATTTGGTCAATGTTAGGCATGCTGTATTTAACATCCAAGTTGTTAAGATGACTGTAGAAAAGTCCATTGTTTATTGAAGTGTTATAACACATAATACCCCAGATTGTATCTTAATACAGAATGTACAAGTCACGCTGGATCAATCATTTTAGCCAGTTAAGACTGGTAAGTTCAGCAAATGTATAATTTATACCATTAAAATTGATTTTTTTCTGCTACTCTGTATAGTAAAATGCTTTTCAGGAAGATGTAACATTTGAATTGGAATTCAAACATTTTAAGTTGAAATTAAAGGTGTGCCCCTAGGGGTCATCTTTTGATTTGTCTGTATATCTGAGCTTCCTGGCTTGCAGAGCACATTGTCATCTATTCTAATGATAATAATGATAATAAAAGTTAAACTTCCTGTTCTTCAAACTACGTATTGCCTCCTAGTTGTTCATAGTTTCAATGTTAGTTTTTACATCTATGCCAGTTGTTCTTCATTCATTTGCTACATGTGTTCTTTTTCCTTCGTTCCTGCGGTGTTCTTAACTTTTCACCCATAGGTGATAATAATTATAATGTGACCTGATAGAAAGTACGAGACGAAGATGAACAATTTTAAGTATAAAAATGTTTTTAAAGTTTCTTCAGTCAAGAGAAGTAGAAAAAAAAAAAAAAAAACACCCAAGGATTATAAATTTAAATTAGTCTTCACCACAGCTGAGATCCTTCACTGGGTTTTGACTGCTAAAGCAAATTTGTTAGCAATTCCTTGCCACACTGCATTTTGTGAGAGAAAGAATACACTGCACCAACGAATGCTGCCTGGATTAAATAATGTCCAGGTCTGACGCAGAAGGCTTAGCAGCCATCAGATTCTTGAGAAGTCCAGAGGAATAGTAAATATTTATCACTGGTATAACATCTGGTCAAATGTGCTGCCAAATAAGTGTTGCCATGACGACGGGGTAACCCAGCCACCCTGTGAAGTGTCACCAGCACTACCAGGTTTCTGGAAACAAAAAGTCTTCTGTTATAAATATGTCAACATACACACATGCATTAATACACACATTTTTATCCTAATAAACAGGCCCATAGCCAGCAATTTCAAAAGGAGGGTTCTTTTTCTGAAAAAGTGGACCTTTTCCCATAAAAACTTCATGTACCTAAATCAAATTTTACCCTGAGTGGACCTTTTCCCAGCAAAGGGGTGTTTCTTTTGAACCCCCCAANTGGAAAACAAGATAAAACTTCTACTATTTTAACTAAAGTCACATATATGGTAATCGTATAGATGTCAAAAATGGAATAAGTTGTATTTATTTATTTATTTATTTATAATATGTTGATAAAGGCGCAGGAAACAGCAGAGGCCAAACTGTCCCATTCTCTTCCTGAGGCCTATTTCATAAAAGAACTCGAGCTTTTTTTTTTTCAGCTAAACTAAGACAGCTATACTCTAATATCCAATCATAAAATCTACTTTGCAGTAAGAGCATTTCGTGCAAAATTAGAACACGGTGGATGTATATGACTTGCCTGAACAGGGCACTGCCAGCATGCCAGGACGAAATCATACTAGAATTTGGTCTGAGGGCTTAGTTGTACGATCCTAAAATGTAGGTATGCTGTCCTATTGATTCCATGGTAGATGCAACTTATTTGGCTGTGATTCTTTGTAGGTTATACAAAAACCAATCTCTGCTCGATTTCTTTCATGAAACCCACAGGCTTTCAGTGAAGGGGTTGGTCATGGCAGATCAAAGGTCAAAGCATTACATTATCTGACCAATCAGGGCCGAGATGTCATATGAATGCAAGATAATGGTAGAGTTGTTCCCATTGGTTGGTTGAACTGCACTGTGTGAAAACAGGATTGAGCCAAGTTGGCAGAAATTAGCTCTTCTCATTGCACTCACCGTAAACTCTCAATGTTCTTTCAAACATGCATAGTACCAGTGTTTTTGTTGAAAAAATATATGGCAGCAGCATGTATTCTAATTTCATTCAGTACACTGTAAAATTTGTTTGCCATTTTTTTAAAAGATTAAATGTGGAACTGTAGTTTGATAGAGTTAGGCCAAGGGAAACTGGTAAAAAAATTAGTGTTTGAAGTATGCTCTGCATACTTTTGATGTTTTAAGTATTTTATTTATTGAGATAGGATTCCTCTTGAAAGCACTTGCGACTAAGACGCCTTCCATTCCACAGTATTTTACACTCTCCATAATAAATTGTCAATCTACAGTCATTCATTCAAAATCTGACAGTGTATAGATCAAAGCAGTGGTTCTTCTTCACCCAACAACTTGTATTTAAATTGTTTATCTTCAATAGTTTTATGTCTTAGACCATTTGAAAGATTTTTCTATCAGGGAATGAGGCTATCCAGGCGAATAGACCACTGAATATTGGTGGCAACCTATTTCAATAGAGCTTTGGTAATGGACCTGAAGTTTGGGGAATTTTTTTAAAAGACAAAAGAAAACATAAATCAGTCTGAAACTCTCTTCTAAGGAAATTGGTGAAAGTGAGTATTTTGGAAAATGGTATAACTTTTTGGGAAATGTTTTGATGGAGTAGATAATAGTGTGGAATGGTTCAAGGGGCATTTGAGTCAAAATTGGCATTGAGGGAAAGTTTTCACACCGTTTTATGGAAACTTTAGTACATGGATGAATAAAGGATAAATTGTAAAAAAAATGGAATTGTAGATATTAATGTGCAATTTATTTGCTCTTATCTCACATTTTTCATTTCATGATGCTATTTCTATTTGCTTATTTTGCTGTCTTAATATTTTTAACTTAAAAGTCACAAGCACTGACATATGTTATTTCTCTTTCTATCTTTTATTTGATTTTTTTTCTGAGCAGTCACTTAAAATGAAAATATAAGCCGACTAATTCTCCTCCTAGCCAAGGTCACATTTACCTCATGGAAATAAGGTGATTATAGAGACAACTTTTTATTACCCTGAGTTTCAGAGTTGACTGAGAACTGATTGGCATGCCTACCGTATGGTAACTAGAAATACCATAAGACACAACAGGTCAGCAGTCAGCAATTAAAAAAAGGGGGAGGGGTATTTTTATGGAAAAAAAAAGGAAGAGTGGACCTTTTCACCTGAATGGCAGATGTAGAACCTGGATGAAAGGCTCAGATTCAGAATCAGACCTTTTTTGCAGTCAAAAGGCAGTTTGCTTGATCTCCCCCCCCCCCTCCCCCCAGAGTTGTTTCCAGTGATCTCTGAAATTCAGGGTACACTAGTTATGTCCTTATTAGGAATTTTAGTTCGTTTAGTTTGTTAAACTTGTTTATGTAGTCATCACTCCTCTTCTCTTTTTTTCCTGTTCTTGTGATGAGTTGATAAATGAGCTGCTCTAGGGAATTGTTTTCAAGGAGCTGTTTTGCAATGTTTTGTACTGGTATCAGTTGTAAAAAAATATCCAAAAGTTTGTATTTGAAAGTTCTGCATTTTGTCCACATAAAGAACATGGCGTATTTGTAAAAAGCTCTCGCAAAGTTTCAAATCTTGACTCAGAAACAATCTGTGTCAAAACTGCGTGAAATTTTATTTTGAAATTTGGAATAGAACAATGGTATTCATACTTCTGCATGTAAGGTTTTATTTTTGAAGAATTCTGTGGATTAATTTGGTCAATGTTAGGCATGCTGTATTTAACATCCAAGTTGTTAAGATGACTGTAGAAAAGTCCATTGTTTATTGAAGTGTTATAACACATAATACCCCAGATTGTATCTTAATACAGAATGTACAAGTCACGCTGGATCAATCATTTTAGCCAGTTAAGACTGGTAAGTTCAGCAAATGTATAATTTATACCATTAAAATTGATTTTTTTCTGCTACTCTGTATAGTAAAATGCTTTTCAGGAAGATGTAACATTTGAATTGGAATTCAAACATTTTAAGTTGAAATTAAAGGTGTGCCCCTAGGGGTCATCTTTTGATTTGTCTGTATATCTGAGCTTCCTGGCTTGCAGAGCACATTGTCATCTATTCTAATGATAATAATGATAATAAAAGTTAAACTTCCTGTTCAAACTACGTATTGCCTCCTAGTTGTTCATAGTTTCAATGTTAGTGTTTACATCTATGCCAGTTGTTCTTCATTCATTTGCTACATGTGTTCTTTTTCCTTCGTTCCTGCGGTGTTCTTAACTTTTCACCCATAGGTGATAATAATCGTAATGTGACCTGATAGAAAGTACGAGACGAAGATGAACAATTTTAAGTATAAAAATGTTTTTAAAGTTTCTTCAGTCAAGAGAAGTAGAAAAAAAAAAAAAAAACACCCAAGGATTATAAATTTAAATTAGTCTTCACCACAGCTGAGATCCTTCACTGGGTTTTGACTGCTACAGCAAATTTGTTAGCAATTCCTTGCCACTCTGCATTTTGTGAGAGAAAGAATACACTGCACCAACGAATGCTGCCTGGATTAAATAATGTCCAGGTCTGATGCAGAAGGCTTAGCAGCCATCAGATTCTTGAGAAGTCCAGAGGAATAGTAAATATTTATCACTGGTATAACATTTGGTCAAATGTGCTGCCAAATAAGTGTTGCCATGACGACGGGGTAACCCAGCCACCCTGTGAAGTGTCACCAGCACTACCAGGTTTCTGGAAACAGAAAAAGTCTTTTGTTATAAATATGTCAACATACACACATGCATTAATACACACATTTTTATCCTAATAAACAGGCCCATAGCCAGCAATTTCAAAAGGAGGGTTCTTTTTCTGAAATAGTGGACCTTTTCCCATAAAAACTTCATGTACCTAAATCAAATTTTACCCTGAGTGGACCTTTTCCCAGCAAAGGGGTGTTTCTTTTGAACCCCCCGACCTCCCCTGGCTACGGGCCTGATAAACTGCCAGTGTTTACTCAGACCAAGTTTTATTCTAGCATTAATTCTGTTCTCAACAAACTGCTATTCTGAATATGATTACTAAGTGCTCATACTCTGACCTGGGAGATAAAGTTTTCACACATCGCCAGTGTCTGATACGACCTTGTCGTCTGTCAAACTCACTCAGTCACTACTAGAGGGAGCCATGTGTTCAGGTGAGAAGATTGTGTTTACATTCTCAGTCTGATTTGTGCTTAGGGTTTTTCAGGGGCTGATTTCTTGTTTAAGGTTATTTAGAACCATGTCCTCTGCTAAACTTACCACTAGATGGAGCCATGTGTTCAAGTGAGAAGCTAGCCTCAGTGCGTCCGGAACATTGTCTCCCTCAGAACAAAACGTAGAGACCACCAACAGAGGGATGTCCATCTTCTCACTGCAATGACAGTAAAATAAAAACAGAAATATAGAACACGTATATATTCCTGGTAGAATGTAATAATAATTGTTATACCAATCTCAAAAGAAAAAAAAAAACATCACTGCTAAGAAAGTTGTATCAATTTATGTACCCTTTGTCCCTTTGTAATAGTAAATAGATCTTTGACATCAACACTTTTTGTCCAAATGATTAAAAAAGCGCCATTAAGTTGCTGGATATAACTGAATTTAAAAGAAGTCAATCATATAAACCAAATCTGAACTACATATTAATTATAGTTTCAGTTCTTTTTATTTATCAGTTTTAGAAGATAAGGAAAATCATATGTACCAAAATAAAGTGATTCATTTCAATGGAGTAAAAAAAGTGAATTAACAATTAAAATAAATAAAAAAATTAATTAAATACCATTCTTCCAGCAGTGACTTAGCAATTCCTCCCCCAGGTAAATAGGAAGTGGCTTGGAGTGTGGAATTCTGGGAAGATGGCGCTTGCTCCATAAGTGGCGCTGGAGCAGGAAATGATGGTCGTTTTTCAAGTTCCTTCCACTTAAGTTCCTCTCTTAACTTTTTACCAAGCTTTTCCTCCATCAGTTTTGTGGCTAAGAATCTTTCCTGACAACTGAAATGTGAATTCTTTTAGTTAAAATTTCTTATGAATGTAAGAACTTTTTTTTCAATATTTTCAATTTTTTAATACTTTCAGTTCTGACATAAATCATTCCAAGAAATCCCATCATTATATTAAACAATTCACAGTGAACACATTTGGGCTCATCCTCTTATAATAAACTTCATTATCATTACCTAATAAACATTCTTCTAATTTTGCAAACAATCGCCCCAAAGAAACCTTAATAATTTTAGAGAGAGTGAAGAACAGGTATTTTGTCCCAGAGTTGTTATTGTAACTCCTACCCAATCATCTGCACATCCAGTCTTTCATGTGAGAAGGTGCTGGTCAAGAGAACAACCTGTGAGAACTCACTGACCTTCAGCCACTTGGCCAGCTTGGTCACAAACTGATTTCTTTTGCCCTGGAATTAATAAGTTTGTTACATTTCCTCTCTCTCTCATTTCATAATTTTGTCATAATTCCTCTCTCTCTTTCTCTTATTTATTTTAAACATCTGTTGCAATTCCTCTCTATTTCTCTTTCTTTTTTACTTGACAAAAACAGCTTTGCTTCTTTTATTACTACACCGAAACTTTATCTTTGTGTGGATTAAAAATTTATTATAAACATTTTATCAAAATGTCATTAATTAACCTATGGTGAAATACCTTTACTAAAGGGGAACGCTGTTGAACTACCACCAGCTTGTGTTCTGTAGACTGATAAACTGGAAAAGACAATGAAGAGTGAATCTAAAAGCCTTCTTATAACTTTTTTGTAGTTCACTGAATACTATAGATACCTTGATCAGTACTTGAAATTTCAAATTTTCTTTACAATAATTGCTATTAATTTAAATTAAAATAACAGAAAAATGAAACTGTACAAATATTTGCATGCTATTTAAATCCCATTTATAGAATTTTGTATCTAACATCACTTCCCCCACTGACTGGCAAAATAACACCTGTTCTGCCTCATGGGGCCTACCTTCACATGCTGTGGACAAGGCATACTTGTCTTGTGTGTAGGGGTCATTTCCAATAACAGGAAGAATGCTGTCATCATACAGGTACCCCACACTCTCCATAGATAGAGATGACACAATCAGATCCACAGCCAGCTGTCCTACATTACCCACTGACACTGCTGGCTGGAAATAATAATTTCGAATATATTATATAACCTCTCTGCTAACCAGTACATTAATTCTAAGGCATCAACTGAGGCAAAATAAAAAAAATATTTAAAAATATATATATTGAGCAACGTGCTTTGATAATTTTGACTATAAAAATTCATAATTTACTACTTAAAATTGAGGACACTTCAGGCGTAAATGAGTCTATGGCAGTAACAATTAAATTTCAAACTGTCCACATTTATTTCTAAGATCGTCAATCTGTAGCATTAATCCAATCTCTAGAGTGGAGTCAAATAAATGACCCACTGACTCAATAACGGACAACTCCATATACAAACTCAATAACTCCAAGTACGGACAACTCGATAACTCCAAGTACGGTGCCTCGATTACCTAATGAAGGAGTACCATACCATACATTTAGAAGGCTAAACATATGAAGCAAGAATTGAAAGGATATCCAAGAAAACGTGTTCCAAATGTCGGGTAGTTGACATCAACAACTCATCCTTCAACATTCATCAAACATCAAACTCTTTTTCTACTCACCAGAATCACTGTATAATCCTTCCATTTGCAAGCTGTCTCATTCGATCTTGGATAAAACATCATCCACGTTGACGCAAAGACAGTTATACTTGTTAAGACGAGTGACAAGTTGCAAACTCACGTTGTTTAAACTCTTTGTTGTTGAGAGGCTTGAAAATTGTGTGTCGGTATTTTGAATCTCCTATTTCTAAAGAAGGATCGTTTCGACAGCAAGACAAGACCCCTCCCCCCCCCCCCTTTCCCGTAAGGAGGGCATTCTTTCAGATAATAATAATAATAACAAGAACTCAGGAATAAATACCAGACTAGCCATAAAGGTGCGTCTATTTTGACCATGGGTCATCAGGTAAGTTATTTTAGTAGGATAATTTGAAATTACCAAACAACTAAATTAATTTGATAAATAACATTAAATGCCAACCTAAATTTATTTTGTGAAAGTGGGTCTTGAGGTATATTGAGTGTATTCATAGTGAGAATCCTTTGCTGATAGGATGGGAATTTTTGTCTCAGTTTGTGGACGAAATATATGCACAGCATTTTTTTTTTTTGTGTGTGTGTGTGTGTGTGTGTGTGTGTGTGTGTTAAAATGTAAAACATTGTAATCACTATTTCCTTCCTTTCCCATTTTGAGTTTTAGAGTATTCATCACTGACAGTAAGTTTTCTAAGCTTATGCACTGTTTCAACCTCTCAGTAATTTGAAATGACTCCTCCTGCTGGGTTAAGAGTAGAATTTTCCAGGCTTGGATCAATCCCCTTCTCTTTCATCTCCACAATCGCATACTGTATTATGCAGAATTGATAAATGTTATTCCAAGATTAAAAAAAAAAAAAAACCTTCATAATTAATCAGACATTTTAATTTTTGTTGACATTTGTTTATTAAAAACAATATCGGAAGTTATTTACAACTGACATTATGGCGATAGTTTATTTTTTTTTCAACAGCTTGTGTAAATATGGCATATAAAAAACCCAACTGTCTATAATGAATTGATAACTTTTTTTCTTTTTTAAAATGACCAACTTTTTAAAAATTGCCATTACATACACTGACTCTACATAACTCCAATGTAAGTGAGGGTCAAAAGGCGCCCTGAGTTTCAGAGGTTACTGGAAACTAATGTCTGTCACCAGCATGTTTTTGTTGTTTCCGGTTTCTGGAAGAGGTGTCCAGTACACTCTCACACTCAGGGTGTTTAAGGGAGCATTCAGAACCAGTTGATCCATGGACTAACTTGTCTGCAGATCAAATATGGTGCCATCCACTTGAAAGCGTACCGAGATTTAATTGGTTGCCCCTGCTCGGACACTGTTTGTTAGAGGTGGGAATCCATTGTCAAGTGTGCGCCATATTTGTTAGTTAGTCCGCGGATCATCATTGTTGTGAATGCTCTCTAACAGTGAGCAACATGACCAAACTAGTGTGTAAGGGATCACTAACTTCAGGACTAACAAAGGGTCCATTCACAATAACACCTGTTGATCTTGCTAATGCACCGTAACTTCATTGTCAAGTGTTAGTTAGTCTGTGGATCAATATTGTTGTGAATGCTCTCTAACAGTGAGCAACATGAGCAAACTAGTGTGTAAGGGATCACTAACTTCAGGACTAACAAAGGGTCCATTCACAATAACACCTGTTGATCTTGCTAATGCACCGTAACTTCTCGGGGACTTTCGCTGAATGCAATCAGATTAACAGGTTAACAAGTCTTCTCGTTTCCAACATAGTGGTGTAATCACATTTCTCTGTGTTCTACTCAACACCAGGGGGCATGGTAATCTAATTTGTATTCAGTGACTCTCCATGGAGTTTGTTGGCTGGTTGTCAGATTTCATTGTGAAATGTTCCCACAGAACAGAAATGATTACAATGGAACTTCCCACAGAACTGCAGACTAGAGACATACACTGGAATATCATCATGATCATCCAGGTAATTCAGTGACATTAAAAATCAATCAAATTATGGCCTTTCTACTGCTTGAGAAAATTGATCTTGGGTTTTCTACTGGATTCTAGTTGTAACCTTGGCATATTAATATTACAGTATTATAGTAGCACCACATTTGTACAGTACAGTAATCAATAACAATATACAGAGATAGGGAACAACATCAGAACCACTTTACAGCAACAACGATAACAACTGTCTGGTAATTAGCTGCGGAGATTCTTCCATTTTGTTGTGCAACATTGAGCAAAACCCTCATTGTAAAGGAGTCTCTGTAGCAAACATTTTCAAATTCTATTTACACAAACTCTATCCATAACATGCTTAAAATATCAACAATAAAAATGCAAAACTTGAAGTACTATGTTAACAGCCATACTGCTAAATTGTCTTATTGTGACAGAATTCAGCAGGTGAATACAAAAATCACTCACTAATGTTATAACAGTGGATTAACTACACATCAGACTACATTAATTCTGATCTATAATGAAATACAAAACACGGACACTCATGCACCTCTGGGACCTCTGGTATACACAGAGAAAAATTGCAAGTAAGTTTTAATTTGTCAGACACATGCAAATTTAGCATCATTTTCACGGAAAAGTAAATAAGTTATTATACTGATGCATCTATGAAGATCCTAGACTACTATTAAGATGTACTAGTACTTGCTAACCCAAGCTTTCGGCCCCTAGCCTGGCTATTTTTCAATGAAGGCACCTATAACAATATTGAACCATTCTTTATTACTTCACAAGTTCAGTATTAGGTTCGATTTTTTCCTCTAATGTGATAACACACTACTACTGGATGATTTAGAACATTCACTCCCAGGAAAGCAAAACATTTTGCTACCAATAGCTTGTGATATAGAATATGTGATAAACAGATGTAAGTTTTGGTTTAAGTTAGCTGCTTTTTGTGATACTCCCTGAAGAAATGTGACTATGAAACTAATATCATATCAAATACAATTTGCACTTTGTAGACAAACATTTCTGTACATTGTACAGAGTTGCCTTCATTTCTGCCCTTCAATAATTAAAATTCCCTCACCTTTTGTGTATTCATACGGTATTACGGGAATATTTATCCTTATAAATACAAGTAAAAATACATGTAATATAAGTGAAATATCTCACTTTACAGGAAACATCCTGCCTCTCACCCTGTACTTCTTACAATAATTGTATTGGAAACTTTTGTCAGTTGCGTAGACAAAGAAGGCCAAAAAGACATTTACAGGTCCAACAGCTGACATCCATTTGATCAGGTTGTGCAGTGTTTTAGCCTACTGAGTACTAACCCTTTGAGACTCTAAGCAACTATTAACAGTAAAAGAGGATAGTAGCTTAGAAAACTGACAAACATTTACTGGTCTGACTTCAGTTTTCAGTTTAAAAAAAAAAAAAAAAATATATATATATATATATATATATATATATATATATATATATATATATATATATATCATGGGACCCAACACCTAACTGGTTGGAGGTTCAGGAGCTGCCTTAGAATTGAATTTCAACAGAAAAAGCTCATGTCTGGTTTTACTGGCATCTAGGGTAGAGATAAAGTCACAGACTACTACTACTAATAATAATAATAATAATAATAACAACCTATACTAAGGAATTCCTAATTTAAAAAACTTTAACTGGCAGTTGCTCATCAGAGCTAACAATTTTCTGAGCATTTTCACTCTGATAAAAAAAGAAAATATATCCAACATTTACACTAGTCCAAACACTTCACAATTTAAATTTTATTTTGTGTGTGCAAGTATACATTAGCTTAATAAATCTGTATCATAACCTACATTCACATCACTTCAATAGAAAGGCTCACTGACAGATGAATAATCCCTAAGATAGTTATCATCAAAGAACACAATTATCATTGTGATATCATCCCTGAACGACCTGCTCAATTCTGGCGGCAGAGAAAGAAACGCAGACAACTTGGAATGGGTGACATTCTCGCCATTGTTTCCTCCCAGAGCGTGACGCAGCAGATGTGTTGCGACATTAATATCCTCAGGTTTATACTCCAGACCAACTCTTCTCTTGCGGAGATCTGAATTGATCTTTCCTAGAGTCAAAGTCCCTGCGGCTTCGTATTTTGTCCATGTCTGTTTCCCCATCATGTGTTCGCTAATAAGATGTGTGACCTTTTCTGGGGTCAACATATCCCATAATCCATCTGTCGCTAGGATCATAAAACGATCTGCTGGAGTCAGACGGTATGATATCACTTCTGGTTTAGCTGTCAAGTAAGGCGGTGTATAGTAGTTTGAAAGCATCACTGCATACGGATTATTGAGCTTCCCGGCATGCTTTGTCACATATGCCAACTCTTTACTTGGCCATTTATAACAAACATCGCCAAAAGCTCTCAGAGGAGCCAAATTTCCCATGAGCCTCTGGTTCCTTATGACATTCTCATTAGGGGGGTGTTCGCGCCTGATTCGTTCCACTTCCTTTGGGTTATTTGCACTGTGATCATTTGAAAGTGGAATAAATTTAATGTTCCCGCCTGAACTCATGCGTCCCAGTATAGCCTTGCAGTCCCCACTATTGGCAACGTGCAAATGCGGTCCATTCACATGGGCAACTATAGCACATGAGCCTGCTAGGGCTATATTTAACAGCTGTGAGTTGATCAGTCCATTATTGTTACTCGGCATTGCCATGCTAGATATATCATTATCTAAGCGTACAAATGCACCTTCCAAGGCAGACGCCAAGGAGAATTCATCCTCGAGGGTGGACAGAGTTTCTACTGCGAAACGATGAAGGTTGTTTTTATGCACACCCAGCAATGCATCATAATGCGAAGTTTTCTTGTGGTAGTACCACTGCAGCAGGTCAAGCGTTATCCCTCTGCTCAGAAAAGATTTGCAGAATTGATCCAAAACTTCAGGAGGCATGAGAGACACTGCTATGTAATCGAACAGCCTCTCGCTGATTATCTGGGCGCATGAGTCTCCTGCGTGGCCGTCAAAAACGCCAAACAGCATGGCGTCTGTTTGGAGACAGCGCGCCACGGAATGCCTATCTTCTATTGGATCATTAGAGGGGAGGAAATTTGACTCGTAGTACAGAATGGAACCTTTCTCAATGGGGACAGTCTGTTCTCTGGATCTTAACATGGACGTCACTCGCTGTTTGTTGAACTTAGGGAAGTCTATCCCCGAGTAACGATACCTGCGCAGGGAATTTTCACGCTGTGGAGCTTTACTTGACCTACAAATCGCAACCGAGGAGAAGTCGTCCTTCGTCCAACGTGAGAGCCATCGACCAAGTGGCAATCTCCTCATGAAAACTGCCATAGGTCTTCTGACACGTCCAACGAATACACAACAAGTTCAATTCCTCGAAATCACTTTCAGAATTAGAGTGTTCACTCACATGATTGCTGTTAAATGACTGAAACTTAGACGCATGTGGTGTAATGACTGTATTTCTCCACCTTCGACGGCTGACAGAGCTAGGGTGTCTATTCTAACGTTAGTTTAGATAAATACCACTTAAAGTAAACAACACAAATAAAAATGAACTTGAGACAGCTATATATTTTTGACAACAGTAGTTTCATGTGTATACAATTTTACAATGAAAATGTTCTCAAAACAAAACAAGGGTTGAATTATAATGCGAAACTAATAATTTAACGGTAGATAGGGCAATCCGCTGAAATGGAGCCAGGCGGATTTTGTTTACAAAGTGTCAGAGATTTCATGCTCCAGAAAAATGGGAAAGTCAAAAACCACCAACTCGTAGCTCAGTTTAAGCATTATCTGAACGATCCTGTCGAGAAAGGTGAGGGTAAACTTTTTCGAAACAAGACAGGGTGTAATTATCACACGTACCCCCAAGGCAAAAGGCGACGGCTTACGTGAAACTTGACTAATTCAAAATTGATAATTAATTTTGTACCTTAAACTATAGAGTGAATGGCTGATCGAGAGAATTAAGCTCGTCGAATTCAGATAGTCCACAGTAGGACCACAGAACTGCTTCGTTTTCTCAATTACGTTTGAAATTCTGAAAGTGGAAATTGTGTGTTTGTTTGTGTGTGGTTGGGGGGGGAGGGAGGGAGAGGCTTGCTGCTGTTGGATTTCATTATCATTACCAGTTAAGTCTTCTAGTTTTAAGATAAGTAAAGAAAATTGATGACTTTTGAGTCATTACAAATCTATCTGTGTTTCATTCTGAGGGAGACACTGTGTCAGACAGTATAAATGGGGATACTACAATGTAGTAGTACTAGTAGTGAAAGGAAGTTTAGGAATTCAAGAAGTGTCTGGTTTGGGATAGACCTGGGCAAGGTAGATCAGTAATATAGCACATTCACAGTAAGCAAGTGGTCCAGGTTTGATCCCTAGTCAAGTCTGACCGGTATTCCCCCCCCCCCCCCCCCCCCAAAAAAAAAAAAAAAAAATGCTACAGAGGTATCCTTGGTTAATTGTTAAAAACAGATGTAGCAAGAGGAAATGTGGTCTGGAAAAATGGTATGCTGCCACTGGGGTGGACCAGAGTTGCATAACACCCAAGGAAGTATTGACCTTATAACCCCTGTATAATCTTATCTGTAGCTTCCTCTGTTCAAACTGGAAATGAATGTGGTCTCTTCATATAACATCCTCAAGCTGTTATAGTTGTTTTACCTGTTATGCATAGTACTCCTAAATTTGCCTGTTGAAAAATCTAGAAGTACATTAAAAAAAATTATACATTCATTATTTATTTTTTTATGTATTTGTCTGTCCATCCATCCATTTATTTTAATATGCACTGTTAAAATCACTGATTGAAGTTTATTTTAAAATAAATGTTTTATTATTTTTAAATTATTTTTAATTATTTTTACAGGGGTGAACAGAGATAAGTTCAAGGACTATGTTAACACATTGGCAACAATTAAACTTGATGATGTGAGTATAATGTTAAAAACGTTATTTTGGTCATCTTTTCACAGGCCTGTAGCCAGCTATTTCAAATAGATCTGTGTGGGGGGAGGATGCCTTTTTTTTCTGAAAATATGGACCTTGGGAAAAGGCTCAGAACATAAAACCAAGATAATATTTTTTATGTAGGGCAGACATTTTACAGTCTTGGATGGTGGGAAGGTAAAAAAACATTTCTATGCTTACTTGGTGATTAAATTTCTCGAAGCCCAATTTCAGGATAGATTTGACATTATGCCAGACTAGAAAATTTGCAGGGTTAACTTTTGCTGGGAATGTCTTCTAAGAAACTTTATGTCCAGTCAAACTGAAATATGTACAGCAAATGAATTAATGCTGTTCCAGTGAGTTCAGTATTGTGTTAGTTGAGAATATATAAAACAGCGTCTTCTCTAACACACTTAGAGAGTCAAGTGGTCATGAGTCAGTGTGTTAAAAAATACAGAGGACTACTCCACCTATGTTCATGTTGCTTCATGATTATGAACCATAATATTTCTTATAGTCAGAGGCCTTGTTTTCAGAAAGAAAACAATAATAATCCGATAATTTATTAAATAATTGTTAGAATTACCATCCTTTTCTTAATCAGCTGTTTCACAAATTACTAGTAACCTATGGTATTGTTACCACAAAATTTTTATCAAGTCACTACTTGTACTAATACTTATCTTCTTAATTGTCGGACTTTGTAAGATGTTTTCAAAAGTTACTCGTACTGTTAATTTCTATTGATAATGTTTAATACTGTTTCATATACTAGTGATACTCACATACCTGCAGCTCAGCAGACACCAGTAACTGAATGGCTGTGCCTTTTGTTTCTCTCTCTAAATATACATCTGTGATGTTCACTGTCCAAGTCTGTTCTAGATATAAATATGATAACCCATATATATTATCCGTAATAGGGAAATGAAGTGTTCCCACTATTACATAAAAACCTGTATGGATGAGATTGGGCCATAAATCGTCCCTCATGAGAGTACTAACCTCAAGATATCAAAATAAATGATAGTCAAGATGTCACTGAGTACAGAAAAGACTTAAGTGATGAGCATTTTTTACCACTATGTAATATGAATAACTTTGTATATCTTGGATTCAGATATATCTAAAGATCTGTCCACTAATGTAGTGACCAAGAGAATTTTTTATTATAAATGTGATGTATTTGTTACATTTTCATTATAGTTGATATTAAGTTTACAGATTTTAGTATTTTGGCATGAAAACAAATAATCTTTTCAAAAATTATCTGTATCATCAAAGCAGTGGGACTTAAATCAATGTGAACAGAAGCTGAGGTGTGAGATAGCATGTGACTCAGACATTACTGAAATGATGATGTATATAGACAACTTGCCAGGCATGTCCATCTAAATAAACACCCTGATTGAGGGCTTGACCATAGGTCACCGTCAGTGCTGGACAATTACTGTGTACTAGTATATCAGATATTATTATTGTGTAATTGGATGTTTATACTGCAATATGAAAATACATATAGTATATATAATGAGTAGACTTACTTGTATACTGATATAAGTTAGTAAATCGCAGCCTCATTAGTGCATTCCTCTGCTATAAATCTCCACATTATGTTAAGTAATAAATGTCATAGGAAACTTGTCAGGCATGTTCATCTCAGTAAATACCCCAGTTAAATACGTCACTTGACCCACAGGTCAGCACTGAGCATTAACAACTTCTATATCATATATGTGTATGTATCCACTGTGTATTTCCCTGAGAGATAAGAGTGTCATTTGACCCCAGTCATGGGATGATGGACAGAGGACAATGTGTGTGTGACACTGCGGAAGTTTAGGTTATATTGTTATTATTACTCACTAGGCTTCAAAGTGTCATATTGATTTGTCCCTATTGAGGGAGTGATTTATCAACAGGGAGTCTGGGACAGAAAAATGTCGTTTCGACGGAAGGATCCGTTCATGTGGTCCCTTCGCAGGAAGAAGGTATGAAAGTGTCATGATTCAGGGCAGTGGTGTTAACTTGCCTGAAACCTGCAATTTGTAAGCCGGGGGGGGGGGGGGGGGTAATCTTTTTCTCAAAAAGTATGCATCTTTACTAGTACACCCATATTTCACAAAGCTTAGCTTATAGCAGACATGAGCTTTTTTCACGAAAAAGCGGAATTCCATGTTTTTTAATTCAATTCTGATGGTTCCCAAGATTCGTCAAGGTTAGGTGTTGCAAATAGCATCAGTTTGGTCCCATGATAAATGTTCAGAGGGTATTTTTGAAATCTAGGCTCATGTCTGTTAAAGGATTGCACTAGAAGCAGACCTTTTCTGGCCAAAATAATTTATTTCTCATTCCCCTTTCTTACAGGCCTTGGTGTCAATAATTTTAGCCTTGTAGGATGATGCATTGGTTGAATTGTTTTAGGGCCTAGGGGTCTCAAAAGCTTCTGAATGAAGGTACAAGTGCATGATTAGGATAAAATGCATCAGGATATTCTTGATTGAGAAATCTTCATGGACGGAATTGTTTGGATCAGCTATGATCCGGGTATATCACTTATTTCTAGCAACTGTTGCCTCAGAATGACATTTCTAGACATTTCTAGCATTTTAGTAAAACAAGTGCCATATTTTCTAAATTTAACTAGTGTCAAAGTACATCAAGACTTTCAGTCTGAAGCCTAAAAGGAGAGAGCTCCTATAGATAATTTAGTGATTAAAGTTAAAACATCGCTCAGAAATATGTTTTCCTGTCACTGGCCCAGGTAGACTAATTAATTGATAAGACTTCTCCTTATTATTCAAATTAACAAGCTATTACTAGTACATATTTCAGATCAGATTATAGAGTGTAAAAGTGTGTAGTTCCTGTTAATATTTGGTTGTTTTCTTTTTCTCATCTGAGACTGTTATGCATATACCACCCCCACCATGAAAAAAAAAGTAATAAAAAAGTTAAATAAAAGCTATTGTTGCAGAATAATGAGGGACCGGAAGGGAATCATTTAGCAGTGTAAACTTGTCACAGTGCTAACATGATAGTGTTAACATGCACGTGGCATGAGTCATATAATGACACTTGCACATCCTGTATGTTTTATTATAGTAGCAGGGAATGTATTTCAAATGATGAAACTTAGCAGATGTGCTAATATTATATTTGACCCTGTTATCATGTCTGGATATTTGTTGATAGAATCATTTGACAAAATTAAACTAAGATTAAGGTGCTAAATACAGTATTTGTTGTTAAAGATACTGAACACCTCGTACTATCAAAATTTGATAAATTAGGTATCTATAATGTTATTGTTGTTTGAATGATAAAAGTGTTAATAAAAAAAAAAAAAAAATAATAATAATAATAATAATAATTAGCATTATTATTTATTTATCATCAGTATCATCATTATCTTGACACATTCCTGTGTTTCAGAATGGAGAGAAAGTTCTGGTCTTAAAGAAGAAATACAGGGAAGGAGGGTCAGCTGCCGGTCAGTTGTCCACTCCTACACACACAGGGTCAACACCATCATCATCAACATACCCCTATGGAGGGTCTGCCTCACCCACCACCCCTACCACCCCTGGGGCCCCAGGGACACCATACTCCCCCTTGATTCCTCCAGCTTATGATTCCTATATGTCACCCGGTGTAGACCCTACTAGAGGGATGTATGCTGAGTCCTCGGTGGCCTACCCCCATACACAGAGTCCAGATCTCCCTGTCAGCAGTGGAGGGGGGTACAGGAACCAGTACCAAGAGCCTCTCAGTAATGTGTACCCCACCTCCTACAACCAGAGACCCATGGATAGAGGGTATCAGGACGACTACCGAGATGTTCCAGGAAGTGGGTATCAGGATCCGTACAGGAGGGGGAGCAGTGGGGGTGGTTACCAGGAACCCTACCGTCACAGTCCCAGAGATGATTTCAAGGAACCTGGGACTCGTGGGTACCAGGACCAGTACAAAGAAAGTCCCAGGAGTGCAGCCTACCAAGATGACTACCGACAGAGTCCAGGAAATGGGTTCCAGGATCCCTACAGGAGGGGCAGCAACAGCAGTGGGGGATTCCAGGAATCCTATNTCCCCAAAAGCTCTCAGAGGAGCCAAATTTCCCATGAGCCTCTGGTTCCTTATGACATTCTCATTAGGGGGGTGTTCGCGCCTGATTCGTTCCACTTCCTTTGGGTTATTTGCACTGTGATCATTTGAAAGTGGAATAAATTTAATGTTCCCGCCTGAACTCATGCGTCCCAGTATAGCCTTGCAGTCCCCACTATTGGCAACGTGCAAATGTGGTCCATTCACATGGGCAACTATAGCACATGAGCCTGCTAGGGCTATATTTAACAGCTGTGAGTTGATCAGTCCATTATTGTTACTCGGCATTGCCATGCTAGATATATCATTATCTAAGCGTACAAATGCACCTTCCAAGGCAGACGCCAAGGAGAATTCATCCTCGAGGGTGGACAGAGTTTCTACTGCGAAACGATGAAGGTTGTTTTTATGCACACCCAGCAATGCATCATAATGCGAAGTTTTCTTGTGGTAGTACCACTGCAGCAGGTCAAGCGTTATCCCTCTGCTCAGAAAAGATTTGCAGAATTGATCCAAAACTTCAGGAGGCATGAGAGACACTGCTATGTAATCGAACAGCCTCTCACTGATTATCTGGGCGCATGAGTCTCCTGCGTGGCCGTCAAAAACGCCAAACAGCATGGCGTCGGTTTGGAGACAGCGCGCCACGGAATGCCGATCTTCTATGGGGTCATTAGAGGGGAGGAAATTTGACTCGTAGTACAGAATGGATCCTTTCTCAATGGGGACAGTCTGTTCTCTGGCTCTTAACATAGACGTCACTCGCTGTTTGTTGAACTTAGGGAAGTCTATCCCCGAGTAACGATACCTGCGCAGGTAATTTTCACGCTGTGGAGGTTTACCTGACCTACAAATCGCAACCGAGGAGAAGTCGTCCTTCGTCCAACGTGAGAGCCATCGACCAAGTGGCAATCTCCTCATGAAAACTGCCATAGGTCTTCTGACACGTCCAAAGAATACACAACAAGTTCAACTGCTCGAAATCACTTTCAGAATTAGAGTGTTCACTCACATGATTGCTGTTAAATGACTGAAACTTAGACGCATGTGGTGTAAATGACTGTATTTCTCCACCTTCGACGGCTGACAGAGCTAGAGTGTCTATTCTAAATTTAGTTTAGATAAATACCACTTAAAGTAAACAACACAAATAAAAGTGAACTTGAAACAGCTATATATTTTTGACAACAATAGTTTCACGTGTATACAGTTTTACAATGAAAATGTCCTCAAAACAAAACAAGGGTTGAATTATAATGCGAAACTAATAATTTAACGGTAAATTAGGCAATCCGCTGAAATGGAGCCAGGCGGATTTTGTTTACAAAGTGTCAGAGATTTCATGCTCCAGAAAAATGGCAAAGTCAAAAACCACCAACTCGTAGCTCAGTTTAAGCATTATCTGAACGATCCTGTCGAGAAAGGTGAGGGTATACTTTTTCGAAACAAGACAGGATGTAATTATCACACGTACCCCCAAGGCAAAAGGCGACGGCTTACGTGAAACTCGACTAATTCAAAATTGATAATTAATTTTGTACCTTAAACTATGGAATGAATGGATGATCGAGAGAATTAAGCTCGTCGAATTCAGATAGTCCACAGTAGGACTACAGAACTGCTTCATTTTCTCAGCTACGTTTGAAATTATGAAAGTGGAAATTGTGTGTTTGTTTGTATGTGGTTGGGGGGTGGGAGAGGGAGGGAGAGGCTAGCTGCTGTTGGATGTCATTATCATTAACATTAAGTCTTCTGTTTTTAAGATAAGTAAAAAAATTCAATGACTTTTGAGTCATTAAAAATCTATCTGTGTTTCATTCCGAGGGAGACACTGTCTCAGACAGTATAAATGGGGCTACTAGTAGTACTAGTAGGGGAAGGAAGTTTAGGAATTCAAGAGGTGTCTGGTTTGGGGTAGACATGGGCAAAGTAGATCAGTACTAGAGCACTCTCACAGTGAGCGAGTGGTCCAGGTTTGATCCCTGGTCAAGTCTGGCTAGTATCCCCCCCCCAAAAAAAAATGCTACAGAGGTAATATCCTTGGTTAATTGTTAAAAACAGATGTAGCAAGAGGAAATGTGGTCTGGCAAAATGGTATGCTGCCGCTGGGAAAGACCAGAATTGCATAACACACAAGGAAGTATTGACCTTATAACCCCTGTATAATCTGATCTCTAGCTTCTTCTGTTCAAACTGGAAATGAATGTGGTCTCTTCAGATTTAGAACAACCTCAAGCTGGAATGTTTTCCCAATTATGGCTTACTTTTTAGTTGTTTTACCTGTTATGCATCATACTCTTAAATTTGCCTGTTGAAAAATCTAGAATTACCGTACATTAAAAAAAAATTATACATTTATTATTTATTTTTTCATTTATTTGTCTGTCCATCCATCCATTTACTTTAATGTGCACTGTTAAAATCATTGATTGAAGTTTTATTTGAAATTAATGTTTAATTATTTTTTTACAGGGGTGAACAGAGATAAGTTCAAGGACTATGTTAACACATTGGCAACAATTAAACTTGATGATGTGAGTATAATATATATATGTTATTTTGGTCATCTTTTCACAGGGCTGTAGCCAGGTATTTCCAATGGGGTTGTGTGGGGGGAGGGTGCCTTTTTTGTTCTTAAAAAGTGGGGAAAAGGCTCAGAACATAGAACCCAGATCATATTTTTATTTGGGTCAGACATTTTACAGTGAATGTGGAGGGTGGGAAGGTAAGAAAAAAGCATTTCTTGGCTCACTCTGTGATTATATGTCTCGAAGCACAATTTCAGGATAGATTTGATGTTATGCCAGACTAAAAAATGTGGGGGGTTAACTTTTGCTGGAAATGTCTTCCTAGAAACTTTATGTCCTGTCAAACTGAAATATGTACAGCAAATAAATTGATGTTGTTCCAGTGAGCTCAGTATTGTGCTAGTTGAGGATATATATATATAAAACAGCGTCTTCTCTAACACACTGAGAGAGTCAAGTGTTTATGAGTCAGTGTGTTAGGAAATACTGAGGACTAATCAACCTATGTTCATTTTTGCTTCATGTTCACGAAGCATTATACTTATTGTAGTCAGGGGCCTTATTTTCAGAAACAAAACAATAATAATCCGATAATTTATTAAATAATTGTTAGAATTACCATCCTTTTCTTAATCAGCTGTTTCACCAATTACTATAGTAACCTATGGTATTGTTAACACGAACTTTTTTCAAATCACTACTTGTACTAATACTTATCTTCTTAATTGTCAGACTTTGTAAGATGTTTTCAAAAGTTACTCTTACTGTTAATTTCTATTGATAATGTTTAATATTGTTTCATATACTAGTGATACATACCTGCAGTGACACCAGTCACTGAATGGCTGTGTCTTTGTTTCTCTCTCTAAATATACATCTGTGATGTTCACTGTCCAAGTCTGTTCTAGATATAAATATGATAACCCATATATATTATCCGTAATAGGGAAATGAAGTGTTCCCACTATTACATAAAAACCTGTATGGATGAGATTGGGCCATAAATCATCTCTCATGAGAGTACTTACCTCAAGATATCAAAATAAATAGTCAAGATGTCATTGAGTACAGAAAAGTGATGAGCATTTTTTACCACTATGTAATATGAATAACTTTGTATATCTTGGATTCAGATATATCTAAAGATCTGTCCACTAATGTAGTGACCAAGAGAATTTTTTATTATAAATGTGATGTCATTGTTACATTTTCATTATAGTTGATATTAAGTTTACAGATTTTAGTATTTTGGCATGAAAACAAATAATCTTTTCAAAAATTATACGTATCATCAAAGCAGTGGGACTTAAATCAATGTGAACAGAACCTGAGGTGTGAGATAGCATGTGACTCAGACATTACTGAAATGATGATGTATATAGACAACTTGCCAGGCATGTCCATCTAAATAAACACCCTGACTAAGGGCTTGACCACAGGTCAGTGCTGGACAATTACAGTGTACTAGTATATCAGATATTACTATTGTGTAATTGGATGTTTATACTGCAATATGAAGATACATATAATATATATAATGAGTAGACTTACTTGTATACAGTACAGTACTGATATAAGTTACTAAATCACAGCCTCATTAGTGCATCCATCTGCAATAAAACTCCACATTATATTAAGCAATAAATGGCACAGAAGACTTGTCAGGCATGTTCATCTCAGTAAATACCCCAGTTAAATACATCACTTGACCCACAGGTCAGCACTGAGCATTAACAACTTCTATATCATGTATGTATTACTATATGTATCCACAGTGTATTTCCCTGAGAGATAAGAGTGTCATTTGACCCCAGTCATGGGATGATGGACAGAGGACAATGTGTGTGTGACACTGCGGAAGTTTAGGTTATATTGTTATTATTACTCACCAGGCTTCAAAGTGTCATATTGATTTGCCCCTATTGAGGGAGTGATTTATCAATAAGAGTGACTTGAACAGGGAGTCTGGGACAGAAAAATGTCATTTCGACGGAAGGATCCATTTATGTGGTCCCTTCGCAGGAAGAAGGTATGAAAGTGTCGTGATTCAGGGCAGTAGTGTTAACTTGCCTGAAACCTGCAATTTGTAAGCCGGGGGGGGGGGGGGTCTTTTTCTCAAAAAGTTTGCATCTTTACTAGCACTAATACACCCATATTTCACCCAGCTTAGGTTAAAGCAGACGAGATTTTTCCGCGAAAAAGCAGAATTCCGCATTTTTTAATTCAATTCTGATGGTCCCAGAAGATTCATCAAGGTTAGGTGTTGGGTCCATGATAAATGTTCAGAGGCTATTTTTGAAACTTAGGCTCATGTCTGTTAAGGTATTGAACTAGAAGCAGACCTTTTCTGGCCAAAAATTTTTTTTTCTCACTCTCCTTTTCCCTGAAACCCCCCCCCCCCCCCCCCCCC